TCAAACCTGTTCAGGGCTACAAAGCCCAAACCAACCTTAAAACCCAAAATAAGCCTTTGAAGGTGGAGGGCCTAGCGACCCACCTAGTCTACTTTGCTGGGGCCAGACCTTCATAAGGGACGAGGGGGGGGGTGCAAGGGAGCATGATTCAGGGTTGCAAACCCTAAGTTCCAAACCCCAAAGCCTAAACCCTTAGGGCTTGGGGTATAGAAGCTTATTCAGGGCCTATTTGAGCTTGTTAGGGTTTAGGGTTTACATCCGCAAGCTCAGTGTCCCGTCGGAGTAGATCTTCTTCACGAACGCGACCTGCAGTTTAGGGTTTAGGGTTTGGGGTTTAGGGTTTAGGGTCTAGGGTCTAGGGATTCAGGGTTTAGGTTGAAGGGTTTAGGGTTTAGGGTTTAGGGTTTAGGGTTTCGGGTTTAGGGTGTAGGGTTCTGTTCAGGTCCCCAGCGAGACCAACATGTTTTGCCGCCATGCGCTTGCGAAGTTTCTGCTCGCCCTACAGCCCAAATCCCCAACCCTACCATGTCTTCATGTCCAGCTACGTTCCGCAAGACCCTATAAGTGGTGAAGGGGCCACGGCTTGAGGATTTTGCCCCTCTCCCTCGCTCGCTTAGCTATCTCAGTCTCGCTCTCTCTCTCTCTCTCTCGCTCTCTGTGTCGCGTTTCAGACACTCTACACCCCACTACTCCCCCTCAACCTCATCGGGCTTGCAACCAAGACAGGTGAGCAAAGGCCCGCGACCTCCGACCCACTGCCAACCACGACTGTTAGCACCCTAAGTCTAAGTACCCCAAGCTTTGACCCTAAACCCTAAACCCGAAACCCTAAACCCTGAACCCTAGCCCTAAACCCTAAACCCTAAACCCTAAACCCTAAACCCTAAACAAAAAACCCTAAACCCTAAACCCTGAATCCATCCTGAAGTGCCTGGTAAATCCACACCCTACACTACCTGGAGGTTCATGGTACCTACTGCTGTACTTATAACCCACTTGCAAGACTCCTAAGTGCCCTGATATGGTTACAGGTACAGCTATAAGTACAGTTATAGTTGGTTAATATGTACCCCTAAACCCTAAACCCTAAACCCTAAACCCTAAACCCTAAACCCTAGATGTACAGATAGAATTGGTTAATAATAAAATGAGTACCATGAACCTTTAAGTACGAGGCAATGCCTTGGTGGCGAAGCTCCTCTCTGCCGGCAGGCAGTGAAGCCTCGCTCCGGGTTTAGGGGCGGGGGGTTGGGGTTTAGGGTTTAGGGTTTAGGGTTTAGGGTTTAGGGTTTAGGGTTTCGGGTTTAGGGTTTAGGGTTTAGGGTTTAGGGTTGAGGGTTTAGGGTTTAGGGTTTAGGGTTTAGGGTTTAGGGTTTAGGGTTTAGGGTTTCGGGTTTAGGGTTTAGGGCTTAGGGTTTAGGGTTTAGGGCTTAGGGTTTAGGGTTTAGGGTTTAGGGTTTAGGGCTCAGGGCTCAGGGCTTAGGGGATTCTTGCGGGGGTTCCTGGGGGGGTCTTGCTGGGGTTCTTGCAGGGTTCTTGGGGGTCTTCGGGGTTTTGGAGCTCATTCGGAAGGATTAGTCAGGGTTGCGGCATTTAGGGGCTCATAGTAAGTCGGGGACTTCCCCAGAACAGAGTGTTTGCACGTGGTGGGGAGGGCGGTGGGCACAATCCGACGTTTCCCCCTGGGCTGCGCAAGATCAAGCAGAAGAGTCCTACACTCGGACACCTCCCATCGAATCAATCTCAGGGAAGGAGACCCTAGACCTCAACTACAGACCCCAAATACAAGCCCTATATAAACTCCTTTCTGCCACCTGCTAATCCGGCTCCCTTCTTTGCCTGCGCCCTCCCCTATCAGCAATCCGCACCATGTCTTCCGGGGTGGGGGCTCCGCAGGTTGGTTATGTCCCGATGGTTTCGCGTACTCCATACATCACGACCAAAGCCCTCCATAAACGCCGTTGCAGGCTTCTAAACCCCATCATCTTACCGAATAAACCCTATATGGAAACCAGATAAATCCTAAGTAAGCCCTACAAACCTTTAGGGTTTAGGGTTTGGGGTTTAGGGTTTAGGCCGAGCGGCCTGCTAGCTGCCCGGAGCATCCGCAAAGGTGCGAGGGACATGGCTCGGGGGCAGAGGAAGGCTTGGGGGCTGAGAATCTATGCTGAGCCTGCAAAGGCCTGCGCCCGGTTTAGGGTTTAGGGTTTAGGGTTTAGGGTTTAGGGTTTAGGGTTTTAATTTGCCACCCGCTTAGCTGACCTCTCGGACACTCTGCAGGGGAATGTCTGGTTTAGGGTTTAGGGTTTAGGGTTTAGGGTTTAACATTTGGGGCTTAGGGTTTGGGATTTAGGGTTTAGGGTTGAGGATTTAGGGTCCAGAATCTGTACAACCACAGGGGTGGTCTTGCAACTTCTGTGCGACTAGAGCAAGGGCTGGAACCCGAGCCTCCCCAGGATACTTGGGCGGCACTTGAGGGCACTTACTACTTACCAGGGCTGTACCCATCAAGGGCTATACCCGTTATAGCCCAAGTTTGCCTACTTCTAGCCCAGCAACTACTCATCAAATCCAAAAACCCAGACACCCCAATGCGCCTGAGTCAAGGAATAGCCCTTAGTTGCATCAGGTGATGACTATACCATTTGAGGGGGGGGGGGGGGGCAGGCATACAACACATCAAGCGGTCACGAATTCTCGGGAAACCCTAAACCCCGAGCTTTTCAGCACGAATAAGCAAATAAAAAATCAACAGGTAAACATCTGAAATTAAATTTGAATATAAATATATATATATACACACACATACACATATAATTGGGCCGCCGGCGTGGTAAACACCAACTGAAGCGGCCTCATAGAGCCCAAGCTTTTGGCAAGTTGGGCTTCGAGAGGTTTGTGGGTTCAGGATTTAGGGTCGGTTTAGGGTTTAGGGTTTAGGGTTCAGGGTCTAGGGTCTAGGGTCTAGGGTCTAGGGTTTAGGGTTTAGGGTTTAGGGTCGGGAACTAGGCGTTAGAGGTTTTATGGCTGTGTTCTATCAGTCCTTAATAGGGATTACAATCGGGGGTACTATCATCTCTATTAAGCACCATTAGTACAAGTGGGACTATCCCAAGCTGTAGAGGCTAACGGGTTGAGATGTCTTGGGGTTTTGGGTTTCGACTCTTGCGCGCGCCATGGCACGTGCGCAAGGCAGGCGAGGTTTTGTTATAGGGGTTAGGGTACTTTTGCTCCCGCAGAGCGGGCCTCTCAGGGTTTAGGGTTTAGGGTTTAGGGTTTAGGGTTTAGGGTGTTGTGCACACAGTGGTTCTTCAAGCAAAGCCTCTACCCTAAACAAAAGGGGACTCAAGGGTCTAGAGGCAACTAAGGGAAGGCCCCCATGTTTAGGGTTTAGGGTTTAGGGTTTAGGCTTTAGGGTTTAGGGTTTAGGGTTTAGATCAACTCCGGGATAAGTAAGGCGGTGCCCTTTTTGTGTCCAAGCACGTTGCAAGCCAGCTGAGGCCCCGAAAACCTTATGTTTACCCGGGACTGCTGAAAATCCGGCCCGAGAAGCAAAAGAGAAGCAAAGTGACCCTAAACCCTAAACCCTATATAAACCCTAAACCCTAAACCCTAAACCCTATACCCTAAACCCTAAACCCTAAACGCGCGAAGGTCTAGGAGCCTGGCTGCCATGTGCTGGCCGTCACCTGTCAACAATAAGGGTTTAGAGTTTAGGATTTAGGGATTGGGGTCACTTTGGGGTTTAGGGTTCAGGATTTAGGGTTTAGGGTTCAGGGTTAGGGTTTAGGATTTAGGGTTTGGGCTTAGGCTTCAAGGTCGCGGCACCAATGCATCTCGCTGTTCACCAGGGAAACCCTTAGACCTGAAAGCGTGGACGAACCGTACAGCCGGAATCCAAGAGGCCCAAGACTCTCACAAGGGGTTTGTGGTCGGGGGTTTTATGGTTTGTAAACTGAAGGATTTAGGGCAAAGGGTTTAGGGCAGATCGTCTTGATTTCATTCAGGAAAGGCCAAACAACAAGACATCCTTCGTCACTCTTGTCACCCGAAATAGACATTACAGTGGGGCGTTCTAAACTCTGAGTCTCAGGCATGAGGGATAGCCCAGGTCTTTGCAACTAGTTCACGGTTGGGATAGTATTAGACATGCTAATATGTTCATTCCTTATCTGAGTTCAAGTACCCTTGAAAACAAGTCCAAAAATGTTACCCCCGCTATGGCAAAGGTAAGCTTGCCTGGCCGGTGCACACCGAAGCAAGAAGGCTTTGAACACCCGAGCTGCCCTTCACTCTCTGCTTCGCAGAGGTCCGGCATCCCCCCAAAGGAATCGCACGAGGCAGAGGAACGGCACTTCGGGTTTAGGGTTTAGGGTTTAGGGTTTAGGGTTTAGGGTTAGACTACCCCTAAACCCTAAACCCTAAACCCAGCAGTTGCCCCCCCAAAACGGCCCTTCCCCTCCCTCGCACGGGAAAGCACAGCCTTGCTGCACGAAAGACGAGGTTCCCTGGTAGCAGGTCCCGGGTTTAGGATTCATAGGGTTTAGGGTTCAGGATTTGGGGTTTAGGGTTTGGAGGGTTTAGGATTTAGGATTTGGGGTTTAGGGTTTAGGGGTTAAGGGAACTTGGGCCAATGGCAACAAAGCCATTCAAGAGCAACAAAAACGGCACCGTCTCTGGCGGCACCAATGGGGAGCCCAGACAAGTGATACCGATTTCCGGAGCTCTCTTGGGCCCTTCGGGCCGTGGAGACCGGATGTGTCAGAAGCTCTATGTCCGTTTCGGGTGTTTCTAGGGCTTGTAGGGTAGGGTCTGTCGGGTTTGCGGGATCTACAGGGCTTCCAGGAGGGTTTAGGTTTTAAGGTCTCTCGCACTTGAGGTCGAGGTGCTGGAGACCTGAGGTCCCTAAACCCTAAACCCTATAAGCCCTACAACCGGAAGCCTAAAACCCTAAAAACCTGAAAATCCGAATTCGCCCCATAAAACTCTATGTTCCTCCGCTAGCGGCTCACCGGCCGTGGGCTCACTCTGGCCACGCCCAGCAGCGCAGGCAAGCTCCGCGAGTCACCTGAGTCATCCCAGCCCTGTGCAGAAGCCCCATATTGGGGTTTAGGGTTTAGGTTTAGGGTTTAGGGTGGAGGGTTTAGGTTTAGGGTTTAGGGTTTAGGGTTTAGGGTTTAGGGTTTAGGGTTTAGGGTTTAGGGTTTAGGGTTTAGGGTTGTTCGGGTTAAAGGTTTAGGGTTTAGTCGCTCTCGCACAAGGCAGGCAAGGTCCGTTGGTCTGTGCAGGGCAAAGTGATAAGCCCAAGCCAAGCAGTCGGTAGGTTTCTGCTTGAAGGAAGCTCTGTTGACTTAGTAAATCTACTCAGAAGGCCTCTTGCAATCCGCTCAAGGCTTGGAAAGGCACCCCCCTGAAGCATCTCACCCTTTTTGAAGCCGGACTGCGGGCGTTGCCGGAATGCTGACTGAGGGCGCCGCTGGAATGCTGCTAAACCCTAAACCCTAAATCCTAAACCCTAAACCCTAAACCCTCATCCCCTAGTTTAAGAAGTCGAAGCCTCCAAGGGCTCAAACGGCAAGGCTGCCGTTTAGGGCTTTGGGTTTGGGGTGTTTAGGGTTAGGGTTTAGGGTTTAGAAAGTTCGTGCCACAGTATACGACCCACAGACTTCTGCCACTTTGCGGCCAAGGCTCGCGTTAGCTTCGTGGCCGTCTCCTGCCTTCGCGGAGTCTTCGTTTGGCTTTAGGGCGGCGTAGAATTGGGGTTTAGGGTTTAGGGTTTAGGGTTTAGGGTTTAGGGTTTAGGGTTTAGGGTTTAGGGTTTAGGGTTTAGGGTTTAGGGTTTAGGGTTTAGGGTTTAGGGTATAGAACCACAAATCGTCAGAGAATGGCTAGGATGGCCCTTAAAGCCCTCTGAAAACAATCCTAACTCTGCTCCTCTTAACCCCAATAACTAAGAAAAAACATACAATATCCCAAGCGCCTACCCTAAACCCTAAACCCTAAACCCTAAACCCTAAACCCTAAACCCTAAACCCGGATCATGTTGGCACCAAGCTTCGCTGCCCCGGCAGGGGCGGGGCGCGGCGCAGGCAGCCAGGCGCCGGAGCCTCGTGGCGCGACGAAGGGTCGAGGGGCTACTCTACCTTCATGGGTTAATGAACTCGAATAGGGTTTTTTGGGGGGTTCTTAGAGTATACTCTAGGGGCCTTAATGGTTAATTAACTCGAATAGGGTTTTTTGGGGGTTCTTATGGTATACTATTTGAAGGGACCATAGGGGAGTACCCTGAGTAATTATTCCGACCCCTCTATTCGGCTTCACGGCTTCTAGGAGATCAAGACCCGCAGCAAAGGGACAGGACGAAAGGGTGATGGCCGTCTTCCATGCCATCACAGGTATCTGCCCCAACACCCAGGTCTCTGAACACAAACCAATCGCCACGATTCTTGCTGCAGGCTTGTGGCCCATTGGCTTGGATATAGGACTGGAAAGTATGGGGTAATTGTAATCGTTTTGGATTTGGGATGTTCCCCCTTGTACTAACAGTCCTCAGTAGGGATGATAGCACCCCCGAGTAAAAATCCCTCTTTTGGGGCTGTTAGTATAAGGGGCAACATCCCAACTTATCATTTTATAGGATCCTACAAATTTGAGGATTCGGGGAGGGGGGGGGGGGACCCTAAACCCTAAACCCTAAACCCTAAACCCTGGACGGGGGGGGGGGGGGGGTTGGGGTTTGGGGCGCTGCAGGCTCAAATGACGCCTCGCGAGCGTGGCGCTGTGGAGGTCCAGGACCCCTTCGCTGGCTTGGCCTCGGTGCCTGCAGGCGCATAAGACCCCGGATTCAAAGGAGGGAATGCGGCAATTATAGGGTGCCATAATCCGTCAAAGGGGATATAAATTCTTAAGTAGGGAATGTGGGAATTATGGGGTGCCCTACATGGTCCCTGCCTTAAAGGGTAAAAACTGTTACCGTAAATTCACGGTAGGGAATGTGGGAATTAAGGTACTCTACATAGTCCCTTTTAAAGGGTATATATTGTTAGGGGGATATAGGGTACCCCATTCCCTGCTAAGAACCAGCAAGAAGAAGAAGAAGCACCCGGAGCCCCCAAAAAATCCGGGGAGGTGAGGCTTTGGCCCCCCTGGCCATGGAATGGCAAGGCGTCTTGCTCTACATCTAGCTGACCACGACTCCCCTAAACCCTAAACCCTAAACCCTAACCCCTAAACTCATTGCGGGGACCCTCAACCCACTGGCTGCCCCGTCCACCTTCCACGCCAAGCTCTGTTTCGGGCGGCAGCAGCATGGGAAACTCGTCCTCGTGAGGTTTGGGGTTTGGGGTTTAGGGTTTAGGGTTTAGGGTTTAGGGTTTGGGGTTTGGGGTTTATGGTTTATGGTTTGGGGTTTGGGGTTTAGGGTTTAGGCACGGAAGCGCTGAATTCCGGTGGCGTGGGGGTATTCTCCGCATCGAACGCCGAAAAACGGTGATAGTGGGTTTGGATCTCCAGGTGCCCCCGCGCGAAAGAAGCTTACGATGCCCAGAAGACATGTTTAGGGTTTAGGGTTTAGGGTTTAGGGTTTAGGGTTTAGGGTTTAGGGTTTAGGGTTTCCCCCGAAAGGACACCCGGCATATACGCTCACCAATACTAAAAAGGAACCTTATATGCACTCACCAAAAACAGCAATATAAACCCTGCTTCATGTCTTGACAGCGCATCCCACCCGACCCACAAACAGTCCCCACTTGGAGGATCATGGTGCTTCTCAACCAACTGTACTTATAACCACATTTTGCACTTACAGTAAGGGGCCTACTAGTGGGTATGTAGGTGCAGTTATCATTGGTTAATATGTAGCATGAACCTCCCAGCCTGGTCTAAACCCTAACCCTAAACCCGAAACCCTGAACCACCGGGCAAGCTTGTCTTCACAGAAGGTGGGGGGGGGGGGGGTTGGGGGCCAGACTAAATGGGGGTGCGGCATTTAGGGCTTGCAGATCACCCCTCCCGTCCCCAAGTCAAATTTCGGTTGTGTTGCGGCATGGTTTCCACTCTGGCTGCAAGAAAGGTTTCAGGGTCTGACCAGCGATGGCGCCCATGTTGCCCTAAACCCTAAACCCTAAACCCTAAACCCTAAACCCTAAACCCGAAACCCTAAACCCTAATATGACAGCCCATGCACCATCAAAATAAGTGAGGGCGCTGAAAACCTGTATCTCCTCGTCGGCTTGCCCGGGCGCAGGCGGGGTGGTCAGATTCCGAAGGCGCTGCTGCTTCCCTGGGGATCATGAGAGTAAGACTCGTACCTTGGGATGTTCCCTCTAACACTCAGGTTGTAACCCCTAAAGGCTTCCCTTAATGTGATGCTAATATGGCGACCTTAAGGATCTTCAAAAAGGTTTCCCCAAAACCCAAGGGTACAACCTTCGGGGTGCAAGTCCAAGCACAAGATCAACACAAGGCCCACCGTGCTCCTTTGAGAGCTCGCCGAAGAGAAGAGTGTCAGCAACGACTTAATTCTTCAGTAGCTCGTGATACGCCCATGTGAGTTTGCCAGTTTGCTGGTCGGATGGTGTGGCGTGTGTCCTGCGCGAAGCGTGGATGTAAGTTGGCACAGTACTCTGTGGGTAGTTCTGACCAGGCAAAGTGTTCTGAAGAGGCCTGTAAGAACAAGGGTATACGTAGGAACTAGGGTTTGGGGGTTTAGGGTTGGTCCAAAAACCATCCAAAAGCCCAGAATACTAGTGCCGAAGGTCTTCTGGCGGCCTAAGGCAGGTTTGGCCAGATACCCTCTGGGAACCCTAAACCCTAAACCCTAAACCCTAAACCCTAAACCCTAAACCTTAAACCTGTTTGGATCTAGGCGCGCGCGCTAGGGTTTAGGGTTTAGAGTTCAAGGCTTAGGTGCAACAACTGCCGGTTTTGGAAGGCCTTGAGTGGCCTTCAGGGGTTTCCTGTTAGGGAAGCTGGCCCTTAATTGGGGAACGGTTTGGGGTTTGGGGTTTCGGGCGGGTCTACCCAGATGTGCCCTATAAAGCCCTAGATTTCCCCCAGCCCTACGCCCTCGAAGCTGTGGGCTCAGGGGACAGCTCGGAGACCAATTCAGCCCTAAACCCTGGGCCACTTACATACCCCTTATATACTCTCTGCAACCCAAGCAGAACCCTTTTGAGGAGGCAAGGGACCATGTTAAGGGACCGTGTAACTACTTAGACTGAAGCAGAACCCTAAGGCGAACCCTATAGTTTTGGGTCTCTGCGTCAGGAGGCGTTCTTCCGCTTTCAGGATGATCGACTGCATGAGCTGCCCATTCTCTTCGGACATGATCTCGTCCTCAGCGGGTTGAAAAAAGGGACCCCTAAGCCCGAAACCCTTTCTTGCAACTGGACTCGAAACCCCTTTTTTTTGCAACTGGACTCCTTGCTGCCAGGATGCCGAAACTACTCGAAACCCTAAACCCTAAACCCTGTACATGCCAAGGGGTGTTTGCTCCCAAGGATTCAAAGAGTGAGGTGGGCGCTTAGTGCGGCCCCTTCCCCGTTTTAGGGATCCGAAGTATGGGCCTTTGTTCTACATAGTGTACTAAAAGGGCTAGGCTATATCAAAACGAGGGACCCAAATAAAGGGCCCATACGTGGACCCCTGGAATTTAACGGGTATTTAACGGTTTTCAGAGCTTGCCCGTAGTTTGCTCAGTGGGATCATTGTGTGCTCCTGCTAAGATGTTGTGTAAGGTGCCCCAGAAAAATCAGAAACTCAGAGCATGAGTTTCATGTTCCGTGAGACACAACAAAAAACCTCCTGAACCCTAAGCCCCAAAAGCCCATTAGGCTTTAGGGTTTCGGGTTTAGGGTTTAGGGGGTCCTGAACCCTAAACCCTAAACCCTAAACCCTAAACCCTAAACCCTAAACCCTAAACCCTGAACCCTAAACCCTAAACCCTAAACCCTAAACTGAACCCCAAGTCCCAACAAGCCTAAGAGCCCCAAGACCTGGATCTGGGACCGCGGCGGGCAACACATTGACCCACATGCTGCTGCCATCACGCCGCGCCTGCCACGTTGCTAGGGTTTAGGGTTTAGGGTTTAGGGTTTAGGGTTTAGGGTTTAGGGTTTAGGGTTTAGGGTTTAGGGTTTAGGGTTTAGGGTTTAGGGTTGAGGGTTGAGGGTTTAGGGTTTAGGGCTTAGGGCTTAGGGTTTAGGGTTTAGGGTTTAGGGTTGCTCACAACCGAGACGTGCTTGCATCTTAAGCTGCAGAATCCTCCCCTGAAGGTTCATGGGAGGTATGAAGTTAAGGGTTTTAGTTGGTGTTAAGTGCCCCAATCATAACCGAAGTTGCCGCAAGTAACACAAACGAGCCCCGTTATGAAGTACACCCTAAACCCTAAACCCTAAACCCTAAACCCTAAACCCTAAACCCTAAACCCTAAACCCTAACCCTACACCCTAAACCCTAAACCCTAAACCTTTAACTCAGCTCTCTTGCTGCACAAGTCAGCTTTGGCTGAGCACGCGAGTAAACCGGAGCTTCCGACTCGGTGAACCATAAGCTCTCAACCCTAGGGTTTAGGGTTTAGGGTTTAGGGTTTAGGGTTTAGGGTTTAGGGTTTAGGGTTTGGGGACTCAGCAGAAGCCCCCGAAAAGCCCCAACCTAAACCCAAACATCAACCCTCTCCCAGGTGCGCATGAACACCCTGTTGGCTCTATAGGGGTTCTGCAAGACATTCTAGACATCCCTTCTAGCATCCCTGTATGAACTTATGTGCTACTGTGAAGGAGTGTACATGATTAAAAAAAAGCCATCGCAGCAAGGGTCGTCCGTTCTTTCCCGTATAATGCTTTTGCGGCACTCTGAGTTCTTTTTGGGCAGGGCACGCCTCAAACTGCACGCAGACGCGGTTGGGATCGGTGCTCTTGGAGGGCCCCAGCACGACCGCCTCTTGCGACACTGCAGCGGCTTTTCGGATGTTCAGGAGATTTTGGGGTTTTTTCGAAAATGGGGGGTACCTTTTGGGGGTCCCGCTAAGGGATCCTGTTCTATTGTGGGGTAGACCTAGTTCGGGAAATGCCCATTTTGCAGGGGTAGGAGGGCGATGGGGACTCCGAATTCCTTCGTCATAAACCCCAAGGGCCCACCCAAAAGCTTGGACAAGGAATCTGCGTCAAGTCATATTCAGAATGCCTCTCGATTTTCCAGGTATATTCCTTGCTTAAGAGGTATTGGGCTCTCTGGGTGCGAGGGCTGTGAGGGTTTAGGACCCTAAACCCTAAACCCTAAACCCTAAACCCTAAACTGAGGGTTTAGGGTCTAGGGTTTTGGTGCTAGACTTTTGGCTCTTGCGCTCAGGGGCTTAAGGTTGACACTGGGGTTGTGGGCTTCGGGTTCTGAGTTTTCGCAGGGATCTAGGGATCAGGGGCTGTTTAGTACTACAGTACTACTCCTCACGTAATTGAACTGTCATGATCCTGGGAATGTTAAATATTAGGGGGGTAGGGAGGGTTCAATATTACAGGGAGGGCAGGGATCTCGGGTTTAGGACTTTTTTTTTGCCACCTGCCTAGCTGACACTCAGGCCACACAGGGCTTGGGGTTGAGGGTTTAGGGTGTGGGACCTGCCTTGTCCATGTAGAGCGCCATGATGTGGTCCCCTGGCACACATGGGACGCAGCCCAGGAATGTCATGGATGTGTTTAGGGTTTAGGGTTTAGGGTTTAGGGTTTAGGGTTTAGGGTCGTTCTAGGGCTCACGGAGCTTCCAGCAATGTTGGCACAGCTCTCTATATCTCTCGCTTATGGAGAAGGAGACGGCCGGGCGCACCTGTCTCTCTCCAGATAGGCCCGTTCAACGCATGGGGGTTTTTGTGCTTAGCGCTTCGATGGCAGGCATGCCCGAGCGCGGAGACCCGCCTAGCTGACTGATAGTCGCACTGCAGGGTACAACACGTTCGTGTTTAGGGTTTAGGGTTTAGGGTTTAGGGTTTAGGGTTTAGGGTTTAGGGTTTAGGGTTTAGGGTTTAGGGTTTAGGGTTTAGGGTTTCGGGTTTCGGGTTTCGGGTTTGGGGTTTAGGGTTTAGGGTTTGGGGTTTAGGGTTTAAAAAAGGCCTGTCCACGCGCTGCTTGTTTTGGAAAGCCATATCCCACCTACCAGCAGCCTGATCCCCAAGACCCCCCAAAGTCCAAAAGGACAAAAAGAGGGTAAACAAAAAATCTAGGATGGCCCCTAAAACCCCCTGAAAAATATTCCTGAATATGGCCCTCTTAAACCCAATAAGGGAAAATATAAAATGTCCCAAGCGCCTACCTAGAAAACAGTTCGCCCCAACAAGGCTACCAGCAGATTTTGAAGGTGGGATTCCAGAGGGCTTAGCCGCCCGCCTAGCTGATAGTAACACCGCACCGCAGGGAAACACGCGTCGTCCGGGGGTCAGAAAGCGCAACAGCGTACACTCAGGGTACCCAACGCATTATCCAAAAAGTCATAACACTTCTGGCGCAACGTGTGCAGGGTAACTTGCAGGGCCTTGAAAGTCAGGACATAGAACCCAAGAAACTATTGGATTTCGAGGTCAGATTCCCAAACTTCAAAGGAAAACGGTCACCAACCAGGGTTTAAGGTTTAGGGTTTAGGAGTTTAGGGGTTTAGGAGTTTAGGGTTTAGGAGTTTAGGGTTTAGGGTTTAGGGTTCCGCCCCCTCGCAATGCAGCCTTCGAGGTAAAGGTCGTGTCTGGCGACAACCTCCCAGCTGGAAGCCCGATGCCAGTACGGGGGTTCGGGTTTAGGGTTTAGGGTTCAGGGTTCAGGGTTTAGGGTTTAGGGCTAACCCCTAAATCTGAGATACTCCCCATACACTGCAACATACCTATACTGGGAGTATTTAATTTACTGTTGGGGGGCGGGGGGTAGGGGGGGGTTAATCTTAGGGTGAGGGGCTTAGCTTCCGGGTTTAAGACATTGCTTACTGGGGATGAGACAAGAACAGCTTCACGCAGGTTGTTGTGCTTCTCAATTTGTGTGCCAGGTTGACGTATAAGGGGGGGGGGTCTTTTTTCTGAGAGTGGCTAGATTACATTACTTTTTTGGGACCGGGACACGAAGAGGTTGTTGACTATGATTGTAGTGGGAGGTGCTGTTGCTGCTTCTGACTCGTCAGAATCCTGACCCACGAATCTCTGGCGCAGGACGGGGTGTCACGAACGCGCCCCAATGAAATGCCCCTCCCTCCCTCTCTTGCCCTCAACCCTCTGAATAAACCCCATAAACCTGCAAATAAGCCCTGAAACCTCTCAATAAACCCCATAATTAAACCCTGCAAATCAGCCCTAAAACCTCTCAATCCAGGGCATAAATCCCCCCCCCCCGCCGGAATGCCTGCTGATGCTTGTAAAACCCTCCGGGTATCACCGGACCCTGGGAACTTCTCCTGCCCGCTCGGGTTTAGGGTTTAGGGTTTAGGGTTTAGGGTTTAGGGTTTAGGGTTTAGGGTTTAGGGTTTAGGGTTTAGGGTTAGGGTTTAGGGTTTAGGGTTTAGGGTTTAGGGCTTAGGGCTTAGGGCTTCGGGCTTAGGGCTCAGCATTCCATATCCAATCTGCGAGCCAGGTCTGTGAAAAGAGCTTAGGGCTTAGGAAGGCTTAGGGCACTTGCCATCCCCACATTGCTTGCGGCGCTGAAGTATCTTGGGCTTGGGGATTGTGGTCTCAGCACCCTAGTTGGAGGTTCAAGGGTAGAAGTGTCGCAGTAGGGTTCATCAGTACCCTGCATCATGAGGAGCCCTTCAGGACTTCAAGGTCAGAAAAAGGCAGCGGCAGGCTTGCTTACTACAAATCTACGGTTTAGGGTTTAGGGTTTAGGGTTTAGGGTACAACGCCAAAACCCCCCCACATCCTCCCCCTTTGGTGGACCTCGAAGCCCTACAGCGGCCCAGTGTAACTTCAGGCTTCCGCAAATGCCCTCGAGCTGGCAAGAGTCCCCCATGGCCCTATGGAATCCCATGCAAGGCATCCCTGCAAGGAAGGGGAATCCCTGCAAGGAAGGGGACCTCCGCCTCTTCTCGCTGGCCGTCTCGGTGCCTGACGCAACGCTTCTCAATTCTTCAGCCAGGGGCAGCTCGTGGTGGGCGATCCAGTAACAACATCTCGTAAACTCTCTAATTCTCCCCCCCCCCCCCCCCCCCCGCAAACCCAAAAACCTGACGGCTCCTCACCTGCTCCAATACCCTGAACTGCCAGGTTCGGGAGCCCCCTGAATCGTGCAACCCGAGGCAGACACTGTTGAGAGCTTGCGCCGTGCAAACGTCACAATGGGCTATGGCTGAGACCTCTTTCCGGCCCAGCCCACAACAAACCCATCGCCCAGAATGGCTGCAAAAGCGTATCTGCTAGCTTGGATCCCCTGCACGTCCTTCAACTCATCTTGGACATCACTGCTGTGGCCACCACTCTGCGCATCACCCCAGGTCACCACAGACCCATCACCTAGAATGGCCGCAAAAGCCCCAAACGTAGCTTGGATCTGCTGCACGTCCTTCAGCTGGCCTTGCACAGCACTGCTGTCGCCGCCATTCTCAGGATTGCCCCACGTCACAACTGACCCATCGCCCAGAATGGCGGCAAAAGACTCGCGCGTAGCTTGGATCTGACGTACGCCCTTCAGCTGACCTTGCACAGCACTGCTGTCGCCGCCACCGTCAGCATAGCCCCAGGTCACGACAGACCCATCACCCAGTACGGCAGCAAATGCCATGCTAGTAGCTTGGATCTGCCGCACGTCCTTCAGCTGACCTTGCACATGCCGGCTGTTGCCACCACTGCGAGCATCGCCCCAAGTCACAACACACCCATCGCCAAGAATAGCAGCAAAAGCCCGATTAGATGCTTGGACCTGCTGCACGTCCCTCAACTGACCTTGCACAGCCCTGCTGTCGCCACCGCAGTCAACCCTGCCCCAGGTCACGACACATCCATCGCCACGAATGGCGGCAAAAGACTCTTGCGTAGCTTGGATCTGCTGCACATCCTTCAGCTGGCCTTGCACAGCCCAACTGTCGCCGCCAAAATCAGAATGGCCCCAGCTCACAACAGATCCATCGCCCAGAATAGCAGCAAACGCCTGTTCGGTAGCTTGGATCTGCCGCACGTCCTTCAGCCGACCTTGCACAGCACTGCTGTCGCCCCCCAGGTCACAACAGACCCACTGCCCAGAATGGCAGCAAACGCCTGTTGGCTAGCTTGGATCAGCCGTACGTCCTTCAGCTGACCTTGCACAGCACTGCTGTCACCACCGGTCCAGAACCAGCCGCCCCAGGTCACAACAGACCCATCTCCCAGAATGGCAGCAAAGGAATCAGTGGTAGCTTGGATCTGACGCACGTCCTTCAGCCGACCTCGCACATGTAGGCTCTGATGAACGGTGTGCGCACTGCCCCAGCTCACAACGCACCCATCGCACAGAATGGCAGCGAAGAAAAAGTAGCCCGCGCAAACCTGAATGCTGCTCATCAGCAAGGTCAGCACATCGCCGCTCAGCAACCCAGATTCCGCGAGCGTGGCCGCTCCGTCCAGAATTCCTCCCGAGGAGCTCAGGAGTCTGCCTCTGACCACGGCCAGCGTTCTCTGCGCTCTGCTCTGCAATGATTGAACAGGCTCATCTGGCCTTGCTTCCAGAGAAACCGACCTGCCACTCAGCAGACTCACCTCAATCGTAAAAGGCATGGCCAGCATCACAAATGGCGGGCTTGAGTCTTGCAAGAGCTTGCGGCAGAACAGCACCAGAATTGGCCCCAATCCCACCCCAAGCATGGCATGATTCCCAAAACCCTAAACCCTAAACCCGAAACCCAAAACCCCAAACCCTAAACCCTAAACCCTAAATCCATTAGGGCCCTTTCTCACGCGGATTCGGGTTCGGGAAGCTTAGGACTCCGCCTTCGCGCGCCGCTTCGGCCAACCGCTCGGCCTGGTCCTCGCAGGGATAGTACAAAGTGAGCCAAGGTATGGGGTTTAGGGTTTAGGGTTTAGGGTTTAGGGTTTAGGGTTTAGGGTTTAGGGTTTAGGGTTTAGGGTTTAGGGTTTAGGGTTCAGGGTTTAGGGAGTTTGGGGTTTAGGGTTTGGGGTTGAGGTTTTTCAATACAGCTTACACAGCACTTAAATCTTAAAGGATGTTTTGGGTTGAGAGCTTAGAGCTTAGGGTCCGTAACCGTATTCGTATAAGGGTACCGATTTTTTGGGGTTGGTTACTTGAAAAGGAAACCTTCAACCAAAATAAGGGAAAAGGGCACTAGTGGGCCCCACATACTTGTACTATTATGATTGTAAGGAGTAAATGCAATGCACGAACGCGGCACGAATTGGAATACAGCATCTTAGGGGGGGGGGGGGTGCGCTTGCACCGCTAAAAGACCTCTGTTTCGTTCATTCACAATTTCGCAAGTCATTCACTCTGCTCATTTCTTGCAGATTAACTTCATTCACTCTCTACATAGGTCTCTTTGTGGGGCCCTCAACATGCTAATAATATATGTTGAACCCCTAGCTGTTTACATTATTTGCCCACATATACTATTATAAGCCAACACGGGTGAATCATATTTTTTTGTGCGTACTAGTAACACCATGAGAGGGAAAGGAGTTTTAACATTAAGAGACCACCATGGGGCCCCTCTCGTCTCATTATTCTTGGCTCGCGGACACCCGTTCTTGAAGAGCTCACGACCTTAATCTCCCCCATGAGCCCAATACCCTTTGAATAAGGAATACACCTTAAATCAGATTAAGGATCCCTTGATGATTTAAGGTATATTCCTTAATCAAGGGGTATTGGGCTCCCTGGGCCCTGATAAAGACACTAACTTCTCTCGCTCTTGTTCCACAGCCGTGTTCACCCATCACACCTTGAGACCCTAACTCTTAGTCTAACCGTGCACACCCTTGGAATCGCATGCCAGGTTAACCGCCCGTGAGGTAATACTGTTGAAAGCCAATAATGGAATGTCCCATTGTCTCGGCTATCCCCATTAATCAAGAGCTTTTTGTAAGTTAACGCACGAAACAGGCCCGAATAATTTGACATTTTAACGGGCCCTATTACGATTATTGCTTTTGGCCCGTATATTGCTACAATAAGCGACATGAACTGTGAATTGAATTGATGCACGACATGAACGCCCGAAAACCCCCACATCTTGCCTATTTTAAAAGGGTTGTTGGCGTTCGGCTTTTTGCTTTTCTTGTCGCGGGCTGGCAATTATATTCAGTTGCCCGCGAAGCAAATGTAGCCTAAACCCTACACCCTAAGCCCTAAACCCTATGCCCTAAACCCTATGCCCTAAACCCTAAACCCCAAACCCTAAACCCGAAACCCTAAACCCCAAACCCCAAACCCCAAACCAAAGCCTTCTCCATCTTGTCGAGGCGCTCCTGAGGCCCATCGGAAAGGTAAGTCACCCCAACCCCAGCTCATGGGCTTCATGAGTTGAGGTGTGGTTTAGGGTTTAGGGTTTAGGGTTTAGGGTTTAGGGTTTAGGGATTGAGGCGTATTTCACTCCCGTATAGCTGGCCGAACCGCAAGCAGGGTTTGAGTCTGATGTTTAGGGTTTAGGGTGTAGGGTTTAGGGTTTAGGGTTTAGGTTTTAGGGTTTAGGGTTTCATCTGGGCCTTTACTTCTGTGACTTCGTACGGTTGATAGGGTTGGCTTTGGAGGGTTGAGAGGGCTCATGGGTTGGGGTGTGTAGGTATCTATGGGGCGTCTAGGGTAATATGGGGGTTTACGAAGGTACAGGACCCTGAATATAGACCCCCAAGTGGGATTCCATTTACAATAAGGGGACCCCAAATAAGGTGTCCCGAATTTTGGAAACCCCTAAACCCTAAACCCAAAAACCCTAAACCCTAAACGGCTCCATGTGGTTGAGATGGCTCAGAGTCTACAGCTTCGTCGAGTCGAAGGGTGGAGGATTCGTCCGTGTGGGGTTCAGAGTTATGCCCTAAATTCGCATTTTGAGTTGAATTGAGGGCCTCAAAACCCTAAACCCTAAACCCCAAACCATCGTCCAACTCTGAGAGCCCAGGCCAGGCATTCCATCTTCAGCCGGTCCGGCAGAAGACCTGCACAGGCAAGGGGTTTAGGGTTTAGGGTTTAGGGTCTAGGGTGTAGGGTTTAGGGTTTAGGGTTTCGGCTTTAGGGTTTAGGGTGTTTGGGGCCTAGGAACCCAGCAAAAGTGCATCCAAGTGGGGAGCCCAACTTTTGAAGCACCCGACCCTTGAAACATCGCCCTGGTGCTCCCGCACAACACCTTGGAACCTGAGGATTCGCACGTTCTGCAAAATAAAGTGCACTCCTTCTTTGAGGGGTCTTGGGGTTCCCAAACCCCAAACCCCAAACCCTAAACCCTAGGCCCTAAACACTAAACACTAAACCCTAACCCTAAACCCTAAACCCGAAGCCCGAGACCCTAAACCCTAAACCATAAACCCTAAATCCTGGGTTCTCAAGCAAGTAGTAGGCGCTCGCCAAGCTGCTGCGGAGCACGACGCGCTCGCGCAGCTCGCCCTTGGGCGGCAGTCGGATCTTGCCTGGGCATGCAATTGGGATTCCTGGGCTTCCTTAGGGTTTAGGGTTTAGGGTTTAGGGTTTAGGGTTTAGGGTTTAGGGTTTAGGGTTTAGGGTTTAGGGTTTAGGGTTCTGGCAGCTTAGGGTAGCGTGGGGATTCAGGGTGAAGGGCCAACTTGCAGCCGCATTCTGAAGCCTTAGCCTTTTTGAGGCCGGACCTGTTATTCAGGCCCTACAAACATCCTCCGGCGACGCCCAAACCCTAAACCCTAAACCCCAAACCCTAAAACCCTAAACACCCTAAACCCCAAACCCTAAACCCTAAACCACCAAGCCCTGAGCCTCACCTGCTACCCTCAGAACACCCGTCGCATCCAGGCCGCTGAGATGACGCGTCCTCACCTGGCGATGTGCGTTCTTTTAGGGCCTTGGGGGATGAACACTCCCATTCAATTTAGGGTTTAGGGTTTAGGGTTTAGGGCTTAGGGCTTAGGGCTTAGGGTTTAGGGTTTAGGGTTTAGGGTTTAGGGTTTAGGGTTTAGGGTTTAGTGTTTAGGGTTTAGGGTTTAGGGCTTAAAGTTTAGACATATATTCAATTAGGCTTGAGGGTTTAGGGTTTAGGGTTTAGGGCTTAGGGTACCTGGGATGTTCCCCGTTCAACTAAGGGAAGGAGGGCGCCAGCGCACTGAAAGATGGACCCTTCTCGCCAAGACTCGTGCGTGAGGAACCCCGAACTTCTGCTGCTGTTTGGGGTTTAGGGTTTAGGGTTTAGGGTTTAGGGGTTAGGGGTTTAGGGTTTAGGGTTAAGGGTTTAGGTTCAGGGCTTCTGGTAAACACCCGCTCAATGAAAGGGCATAAGGAGGGACCTTTAGAAGGGACCCTTCATCTTAGTCCCCTATATCACCCCTATATAACCCATATATATATATACTTATATTCAATGAGGGTTTAGGGCTTTAGGGTACCTGGGATGTTCCCCATTCTTTTACCACCCGCGCACTGCTGCCGATGTACTCTTAGGATGACAACTGTTTTTGGGCTTCGACCTTCGGCACCCTGAGCCCCGCATCAGGCTTGCCTAGTCTCGCCCGGGAATGCTGACCTTAAACCCTAAACCCTAAACCCTAAACCCTAAACCCGAACAATGACCCTAACTTCAGGCACCCCCGCCCCCTCGGACTGATCTGCCCTCCACCAGAGCCTGGCCATGACCCTTTCGTGGAGCGAGCCTGGGCCACAGCTGGCAGTTTCAGGGTTTTGGGGGCTGTGGGTGTTTAGCGCGTAAGGCTTGATCGTTTAGGGTTTAGGGTTTAGGTTTTAGGGTTTAGGGTTTAGGGTTTAGGGCTAGCCCTAAACCCTAAACGAAAGCACTGAAGTGCCCAGCCAAGGCGCAGCTGCGTCCGCAGCGAGGCATCGAGGATGGGCTGCTGCGGACGTGGGGCTGTGAGGACACAGGCCTCCGGCCCAGTGAGCCCAAATACCCCCTTGTTGGGTTTAGGGTTTAGGGTTTAGGGTTTAGGGTTTGGGGTTTAGGGTTTAGGGTTTAGGGTTTAGGGTTGAGGGTTGAGGGTTGAGGGTTGAGGGTTGAGGGCTTAGGGTTTAGGGTTTAGGGTTTAGGGTTTAGGGTTTAGGGTTTAGGGTTTAGGGTTTAGGGTTTAGGGTTTAGGGTTTGGGCTTCATTCGTAGGGTTTAGGGTTTAGGGTTTAGGGGTTTAGGGGTTTAGGGGTTTAGGGGTTTAGGGGTTTAGGGGTTTAGGGGTTTAGGGGTTTAGGGGTTTAGGGGTTTAGGGGTTTAGGGGTTTAGGGGTTTAGGGTTTAGGGTTCAGTGTTTAGGCTTTAGGGTTTAGGGTTTCTGCAAGGCAACACCGCGTGAAAGGAGCCGCACCCTCTGTTTCAAAGACCCCTCTGCTTCCAAGAAAAAACCCGCAGACCTGCACCCGGTTGGCCACATGGTCCGACACGCAGTCCTTCAACTACCGTCCCCTGTGGCATGAAGGGTTCAGTGAACCCTGAAACCCCCGTTTCTTTAACCCAGACTCCTGAAGTCAGCTGGGTACGGCCCAAAACGCCCAAACCCGAAGCCCAAACCTTAAAGCCACCAACCATGGCAGGCTTTGACTCCGGCAACCTTTGCGCCCCAAAGCCGGGCAGCCCCAATGCGCCCCCTGTGTGCGCGAGAGATGCGTCTGCTTGCCTCTGGGTGTATAGCCGGCGCGACCTTCTCAATTGCTTGAGCATGGAAGTACCTCAGAAACTTCTGCGTTCCTGGAGATCCAAAAAATCGCGACCCATAAGAGTAAGCTAGGAGGAAAAGGGTGCCCTTTGTGGTTTGCAGGGGCTTTTTGTAAGGGAACCTAAACGCCACAAGAACAGGCCACTCGGGGTTCCTAGAAAGTTGGCAAATAGTTCTTGATGCTCAGCAGGCAAAAGATTTTGGGTCCTGCCTAGAATCTCAAGTGCCTTTCTTTGTTTGCTTCCGGTCTCGTGCTTGTCCCCGGGCCCTCAACCCGCAATCCCCTGAACCTAGACTATGAACTCCTTGTCTGTGTTCTGGCTAAAGGACCTACATGGGGGTTTCCGAAAATATGGGACCCCCAAAATACTAAACTGGGCCAACCAAGGGCCCACCAAGTAACCCTAACCCCTAAACCCTAGACCCTGAACCCCGAAACCGTACACCCCTAAACCCTAAACCCCTAAACCCCTACATCCCAAACCCTAAACCCTAAGCCTAAACCCCTAAACCCTAAACCCCTAAAACCCTAAAACCCTAAACCCTAAACCCCTAAACCCTAAACCCTAAACCCTAAACCCTAAACCCTAAACCCTAAAACCCTAAACCCTAAACCCCAAAATCGCCGTGGCTCTGGGTCTTGGCTGCGCTGCGGATGTCCGAACCCAGCATGGCCCCCTGGGCTTCTCAGCCGGTTCTCCCTCTTAGGGGGGCTTAGGGTTTAAGATTTAGGGTCTAGGGTCTAGGGTTTAGGATTTAGGGTTTAGGGTTTAGGGGTTAGGGTTTAGGGTTTAGGGTTTAGGGTTTAGGGTTTAGGGTTTAGGGTTTAGGGTTTAGGGTTTAGGGTTTAGGGTTTAGGGTTTAGGGTTTAGGGCTAGGGTTTAGGGTTGAGGGTTGAGGGTTGAGGGTTGAGGGTTGGGATTTTCCCCTTATACTAACAGCCCGCAACAGGCACTATAGTAGACTATACTCCCCATTAGGTTAGTATAACAAAACATCCCAAGTGCAGCGGTTTAGGGTTTAGCTTTTTTTTTGGGGGGGAGGGGGGGGGGGGGGTAGTTTATGGGGCATAGGGCATTGTACAGACTACAGGGACTAAACCCTAAACCCTAAACCCTAAACCCTAAACCCTAAAAAAACCTAAACCCTAAACCCTAAACCCTAAACCCTAAACCCGAACAACGCCCACGCCCGAAGACCCAACACTCCCCGAGCGGCGTGCAACCTCGAGACTGGCTCTCAACCCTGAACACCTTGGGATGTTCCCCCTTATACTATCAGTCCTTTGTACGGATTATCGTACTCCCTCTGGCCGCGATTTTCATCCCTATTAAGGACTGCTAGTAAACGGGGGAACATCCCAATCAACACCCTTCAAGTGTGAAAACAAAACCTAAACCCTAAACCCTAAACCCTAAATACTAAACCCTAAACCCTAAACCCTAAACCCTAAACCCTAAACCCTAAACCCTAAACCCTAAACCCTAAACCTTCATTTTCTTGAACCCGAAGCTGCATCCTAGCCGAGACAAGGGGCCGCTGAAGTTTTTGGGGTTTGGGGTTTAGGGGTGTCTTCTAAACCCGAACATAGGGGCCTTACTAGTTAGAAGAGGGTCTTGGGGGCTACTATAGTATAATGACAAAGAAACCATAAGAGAATATTATTGGGAACTATTCCGACCCCTATAGCCGCAAGAGTTCTGCCAAGCGTCCTCCTACCAGGAAGGCATCTGGGACACAGCGACGGCCAAGGAGGATGCCGCAAACAGGCTTGCAACAACTCGATCCAAACAATGGGGGCCCTGAACCCCACACCCTAGAATCTCTATATAAATTGACGACGATGATGATGATGATAATTAATGATAACCCTAAACCCTAAACCCTAAACCCTAAACCCTAAACCCTAAACCCTAAACATGATAAGAGCTTGGGCTTAGGGTTCCGGTTTAGGCCGCGCCGCCTTTAACGCGTTTTAAGGCTTCGGGGGCACTTGTTTACCCACCCGCATAGCTGGACGATACCACTTCGGGGCTTAAGGGTTTTCGGGTTTTAGGGTTTAGGGTTTAGGGTTTAGGGTTTAGGGTTCAGGGTAAGAGTTGTGGGGTTAGGGCTTGGGGGATGAGGGTTTAGAGAGCTTAGGTCTTGGGGTTTTCGGGCTTGGGCTTGCCCACTCGCTACCCTGCCATGTGTCGCGAGCCGAAACAAGGCGTGGACTCGATACCCTCTTTGGAACAGTTTAGGGTTTAGGGTTTAGGGCTAGGGTTTAGGCTTAGGGTTTAGGGTTTAGGGTTTGGATGTTACCACTTATACTAGGGGACATCCCAAGTTGGGGGCTTACGGAAACCCGAAACCCTGAACCCAACCTTGAATATGCCGTGACTTGGAAAGTGCCGAGGACGGTTAAGGGTTTAGGGTTTAGGGTTTAGGGTTTAGGGTTTTTTTTGCCACCCGCCTAGCTGATCGCTCTCCACCACTCTGAAGGGACTAGTCGAGGTCTACGGGAAAGCAGTCCACTAACTGCACGCGCCACTTGTAGCTGGTACTCCCGTCCCCCTTGCAGCTTAGTCAAACTACACGGGCAGTACTCAGGGTCCAGGTTTAGGGGGACAGGGTTTAGGGTTTTTTTTTTCCCTCCTGTTTGGGGTTTGGGGTTTAAGGTCCAAGGAACTTTAAGCCCCAAAATCCTCAACCCTGACCGTCCTGAAGGTTCTTGGGGGGTTCAGGGTTTACAGTTGAGGTCCATGGCTAGTTCGGGGTTTGAAGCTACCCTGAGCCCGAAACCCTTATCCCTAAACCTGGTATCCCAGTCGGCAGTTTCTTGGGATAGCGCTTCCACTCCGCTTCTTTTATGAGGGGGGTGGGGGGGTAAAGTGGGTAAAGTGGTGATGGTGGTGGTGCTGGCGAGGTGTTAGGTCCTGTTGGGGCTTTAAGGGTTCTAGGGTTCAGGGTTCAAGGTTGAGGGTCTAGGACTATACTTAAGGGACTTATAACCCAAGTTAGGATCCTTATAACCCAACTTAGGGTTCTTATAACCCAACTTAGGATCCTTATAACCAAACCTGATGCCCCCGCGCACCTGGCCCGAAAGAACGATGCCCAGCGTGATGCCGAAGTTCGACCCGACGATGCAGACCTACGCGGAGTTCTTAAACCCTAAACCCTAAACCCTAAACCCTAAACTCCAAACTCTAAACCCTGAACCCTACCCCCTGTACTTTTGGAGGTTCATGGTACTTATGAACCAAGTATAGCAGTACTTACATCTGTATTTGTAGCCATGTTAGGGCACTTAAGGGGCTTATAAGTGGGAAGAGTACAGTTAAAATTGGCGAATAAGTACCCTGAACCTCCAAGTAGCCCTGGAACCCACAACCCGAAAAGCCCCAACCCAGATGATGTAGGGGTGTTGGGTTTACGGTTTAGGGTTGACATCTTAGGGTAGTTGCATGGTCCCTTAGTATGGGCCCGGAAATGGAGACCCCCTACATTCCCCCTTAAACCCTATACGGCCCTAAACCCTTAACCCTAAACCCTAAACCCTAAACCCTAAACCTAAGGGCCCATACATCCTCGGGGTTTCGGGCTTTCGGGCCTCAAACCCACAGAGCCCAATACCCCTTAAGTGAGGAACATACCTTCAGGGTTTAGGGTTCAGGGTTTAGGGTCTAGGGCTTCATGTTAAGGATCCCTGCTTATAAGGTATCCCTTCAAGGGATTACATAGGGTACAGGAGGAGGAGGAGGAGGAGCCATAAAGCCTGCGCCCCTAAAACCCCCCAAAAAACCCCAGCCCCCTGATTTCGGACTCCTAAACCCTAAACCCTAAACCCTAAACCCTAAACCCTAAACCCTAAACCCTAAACCCTAAACCCTAAACCCTAAACCCTAAACCCTAAACCCTTACCCCTAATCCTACTAAGAACCAGCCAGTAAAAAGGGTTCAGGGGTCCGCCCCTCTTGGGCCCCCCTGCCGCAGAGAGCAGCAACGGGGCCCGGATTGGTGGCCACCGGAGGCCCTGCAGAGTTTATTTTACTTTTTGGGGGGGGTTTAGGGTTTAGGGTTTAGGGTTTAGGGTTTAGGGTTTAGGGTTTAGGGTTTAGGGTTTAGGGTTTAGGGTTTAAGGCTCTTGTTTCAACCAGGACCCCTCCAACACCGCGAGAACCCCAGACCCCATCACCCACACAATAAGCCCCGAACCCGTTCTGACCTCCCAAAAACCCTGAATCGGGAACCCTCACAGCCCTACTGCAGTCGAGGCCCCAAATTTCCAGTAAAATCCAACAAGTTGAAACATCCTTCTCCCCATACCCCAAGAGTATGCTCAAGGGAATCCGGGGTCTAAGCATCCTTAAACCATGTTACAAAATTCTGGAATACCCTAAACCCTTCACCCGAAACCCTAAACCCTAAACCCTCTCTCTCTCGCTCTCTCTCCCTCCGGCTCTGCCTCTCCCTTGCTCTCCACAGGTCCAGCAGCGTAGCTCTTGAAGCCCTCTGATAAAATATTCGTTTAGGGTTTAGGGTTTAGGGTTTAGGGTGTAGTGTTTAGGGTTTAGGGTTTCGGAAAATAGGGGTACCTTGTTGTGGTCCTTATTTAGGGGTATATTTTAGGGCTCCCCTATGTTCGTAATGCGATCCCCTTCAACCCAGTAAGTTGGGATGTCCCCCCCCCTATGCTAACAACCCTCAATAGGGATTCTACTAGGGGTACTAGGGAACGGCTGCGGTGCGACCTTTAGGGTTTAGGGTTTAGGGTTTAGGGTTTAGGGTTTAGGGTTTAGGGTTTACCTTTCGACTGTTTTGTTTTGGTCCGCATGGGTTTCGACGCCGCGAGGCCTGCGCTGCCATCAGCACGGCGGAAAATCCGGTA